GAGGTAGTCACTCTTTACACCCCTACGGCACTCTGAAGTCAAGGTCATGCTGATATCCTCTGACACTGGTGGAGTTTAGTTTCTTGGCCATTTACAAGCCCCTAAGCAGAAAGCGTGCCTGAGGCATTCTTTCCCTGTCTGTTGAGAAGCAACACATAATACGTAGTATAATGAGTTTGAACCTAGGATTTATTATTTGACCTAGGGCCAAATTATGTAACTTCTCTGTACTTTACACTATTTATTTGTATTGTGAGAATAATAATAATTCCCTTCTCACAGAGTTATTGTGAAGAATAAATGAGACAATATTCATAAAATGCTTAGAATAGGTAGGCCCAAAGAAAGTCCATTTCTAGAGACTGTACTTCCAAGTTAGATTCCTTTCATAAGTTCTTCTTTTTTTCTTCCAGGTAGAAACTTTCCCTATTGGAGTTTCTATGTGTCTATCATATATGTCACATACACAAACACATCTAATGCATAATATAGTTGTATATATAATGAGATTATTTGAATGCAAAAACAAATACACTGAGACTCTTGCCCTATACCATATGATGGGGCTCGAATATGTGTCTCCACCAAATCTCAAGTTGAATTGTTATCCCGAATGTTGGAGGTGGGACCTGATGAGAGGTGACTGGATCGTACAGGTGGATACCTCAGGGCTTGGTGCTGTCCTTGCGATAATGCGTAAGTGCTCATGAGATCTGATTGTGCGAAAGCGTGTGGTACCTCTCCACCTCTCTCTTCTCCTACTTTTGCCATATGATATGCCTGCTCCCCCATTGCCTCCCACCATGAGTAAAAGCTCCCTGAAGCCTCCCCAGAAGCTGAGCAGATGCCAGCACCATGGTCGTACAGCCTGCAGGACCATGAGCCAGTCAAACCTATTTTCTTTATAAATTACCCAGCCTCAAGTATTTCTTTATAGCAACGCGAGAATGGCCTAATACAGCAAATTGGTACTGAGGACAGGCTTGGCTCTCAAGATATTTAAAAATATGGAAGGAACTTTGGAACTGGGTAACAGGCAGAAGTTGGAAGAGTTTGGAGGGCTCAGAAGATGGGAAGATGAGGGAGAGTTTGGTTAAATGGTTGTGACGAAAATGCTGATAGTGGTATGAACAGTGAAGTCCAGTCTGACAGGGTCTCAGATGGCAATGAGGAGCTTATTGGGAACTAAAGCAAAGGTCATGTGTGTTAGGCCTTGACAAAGAACTTGGCTGCCCTGTGCCCCTTCCCTGGGGATCTGTGGAAGTTCGCACCTCAGAATGTTGATCTAGGGTGTCTGGCAGAAGAAATTTTTAAGCAGCAAAACAGTGTGTAGACTGGTTCTTTCTTATAGTGTGTCCTCAGATGTAGGATCAAAGAAATGAAAGTTGGAAGTTATATTTAAAGGAGAAGCAGAGCATAAACGTTTGGAAAATTTGCAGAGACAGAAAAAGCTTTTTCAGGACAGAAATTCAGGCAGGCCGTGGAGCAACCACTTGCAAGAGAAATTTGCATAACCAAAAAGGAGCCAAGTGCTACTAGTCAAGAAATAGGAAAAAGGCCTCAGAGGCATTTCAGAGATCTACGAGGCAGTGCCTCCCATCACAGGCTCAGAGGCCCAGGAGGACTAAGGATTTTAGGGCCAGATCCAGGGTCCCACTGCCCTGCGCCACTCCAGGAGGCTGCTCTCAAATCCTGGTTGCTTGAGCTCCAGCCATTGTGCCAGTGGGCCCAGGTATAGCTCAGGCTGCTGCACTGGAGGGTAGAAACTAAGCCTTGGTGGCTTCGTGGGGTGTTAGTTAAGCCTGTGGATGTGCATAGTGCAAGAGTGAAGGAGGCTTTGCAGCCTCTGCCTAGATTTCAGAGGGTGTATGTGAAGGCCTGGATGTCCAGGCAGAAGCCTGCTGTAGGGGAAGAGCCCCTTTAGAGAACCTCTATTAGGACAGTCCAGAGGGGAAATGTGGGGTTGGAGGCCCCACACAGGGTCCCCACTGGGTACTGCCTAGTGGAGCTGTGGGAAAAGGGGCACCATCCAGACCCCAGAATGGTAGGTCCACAAGCAGTTTACACCCTGTGCTTGGAAAAGCCACAGGTAGTCAACAACCTGGGAGCGCAGTGTGGGGCTGAATTCTGCAAAGCCACAGGAGTAGAACTGTCCAAGGCACTGGGAACCAACCCCTTGCACCACTGTGCCCTGGATGTGGGATATATAGGAGATTATTTTGGAGCTTTAAGATCTAATGACTGCCTTGCTGCTTTTCAAGCTTGTTTGGAATCTGTGGCCCCTTTCTTTTGGCAGATTTCTTCCTTTTACAATGAGAGAAATCAGCCAAAATCTTTACCCAATGCCTGTACCCCCATTGTATCTTGGAAGTAAATAAATTGTGATTTTACAGGTTCATAGGTGGAAGACATTCATCTCCAGATAAGACTTTGGACTTGGGACTTTTGAGTTAATGCCAGAGTGACTTAAGACTTTAGGGGACTATTGAGCAGGAGATGATTCTATTTTGCGATGTGAGGACCTGAGACCTGGGGGCCAGGAGCAGAATGATATGGTTTGAATATATGTCCCATGAAATCTCATGTTGAACTGTAATCCCCAGTGTTGGAGGTGAAGCCTGATGGGAGGTGATTAGATCCCTCATGGCTTGGTGCTGTCCTTGCAATAATGAGTGAGTTCTTGTGAGATCAGGTGTGTAAAAGTGTGTGGCATCTACTCCCCTGCCTTGCTCCTGCTTTTACTGTGTGATATGCCTCTCCCCTTTCACCTTCTGCCATAGGTGAAAGCTCTCTGAAGCCTCACCAGAAGCGGAGAAGATGCCAACCCCGTGCTTTTACGTGCTGCAGAACCAGGAGCCAGTTAAACCTCTTTTCTTTATAAATCATCCAGCCTCAGATATTTTTATAGCAATGCAAGAACAGCCTAATACACAGTATATACACATTAGTTGATTATAGATAATCTCATATCAAATTGGCACAGTTTAACAATCATTAAAATATTAATAAGCATGAGAATGAATGGAGTCTCACTCTGTCACCCAGGCTGGAGTGCCGTGGTGTGATCTCGGTTTACTGCAACCTCCGCCTCCCGGTTTCCACCGATTCTCCAGCCTCAGCTTCCCAAGTAGCTGGGATTACAGGCATGCGCCACCATGCCCAACTAATTTTTGTATTTTTAGTAGAGACGGGGTTTCACCATGTTAGCCATGCTGATCTTGAACTCCTGACCTCAAGTGATCCGCCTGCCTCGGCCTCCCAAAGTGTTGGGATTACAGTGTGAGCCACTGCACCCAGCCTCAATTGGATCTTAATGTGATATTCCACAAGGAATTCTGAGTCCTGCGTCAACCCAGTAGTAGGGCTTTTTGTCTTCCCTGTCTTCAGCTGAAAGGCGTGTTCTTGGCAAAGCTGAACACAGACAGCAGCATCATGTTACCTCAGGTTCTCCATGTATGGCTTCTTGGTGCATACCCTCCAAGGCTAACCTCCACATCTGAGAGGTCTCAGCTTATGAGAAAGGAAAGACTTTTATGAAGCTGGATGAACTCCCTAATCTCATGGATCTCAAATTATGCTGTGAGCAGAAGTATCTGGGGAACTGTTAGACAGTTCATTGCCTCCTCTAATACACAGGAATGTACACGTGAATTAACAAGAGAAGGGGTTAAACAAGCTTTATGAGGAAATTTGGAGTCTGGGGACGGGCGAGAAGAAAAGGCATAAGTTCCCAGATCTTCCTTTTTCTGACAAAGGCTGCTGGAGCCAGGATGCTCTGCAGGGCACTGATAGGTTGGTCTTGCAGAAGAGGGCCTTGCTTCCCTGTGGCTCTCCCTTCTTATAATACAAGTAGAAAACAACTTTGTCATTGTGGAGATAAACTCACTACTTGGTGCCAGGCAATGTGAATGTGAGGTGTTTGCTTTTTCAACAAGAGCCATCTGGGAAAGCTAGCTGTCTAGTACCTGGGAAGCTTGAGATCTTTGGGAAGTTTCAGTCCCTCTGTAGAGAGAAGGGGCCTTTTGTTCTATGGGAAGCTGAGTTTCTGTTTTATACCTACATGCTGTGAATAGAATGTTGGAGGGTAGAAGACAGTCTAAGCTAGCACTTTGTTCAAGCGCCCTAGACTATTTCTGAGGTTCTTTCTGGACATGGAACTTGTCAAGTCACATGAACTTATTAAAATACAAGTGCCTTGGCCCCATCAGATTTCCTGGCTCCAAAGCAAGGCTCAGATGTCTGGAGTAACAAGTGTCATAAGTAATTATGATGTGTATGTGTGTGTGTAACCTGTGTGTGTGTGTGTAAAACCTGTGTAGGTAACCTGTGTATGTAACCTGTGTGTGTGTAACTGTGTGTATGTAACCTGTGTGTGTAACCTGTGTATGTAACCTGTGTGTATGTGTAACCTGTGTGTGTGTAACCTGTGCATGTGTGTGTAACCTGTGCGTGCGTAACCTGTGTGTGTATGTAACTGTGTGTGTAACTTGTGTGTGTATGTAACCTGTGTGTGTGTAACTGTGTGTATGTAACCTGTGTGTGTGTGTAACCTGTGTGTGTGTGTAACCTGTGCATGTGTGTGTAACCTGTGCATGTGTAACCTGTGTGTGTATGTAACTGTGTGTGTAACTTGTGTGTGTATGTAACCTGTGTGTGTATGTAACCTGTGTGTTACCTGTGTGTATGTAACCTGTGTATGTAACCTGTGTGTGTGTAACCTGTGTGTGTGTAACCTGTGTGTGTATGTAGCCTGTGTGTGTAGCCTGTGTGTGTGTATGTAACGTGTGTGTTTGTGTGTAACCTGTGTGTGTGTGTGTAACCCATCTTTTGGCATCCAATTTTAGTCCCTTTCGGAGACTCGTTGTCTCCAGCCCCTCAGCCATAGATCCTTTGCGAGTTCACTCTGCCTTTTCTGTAGATGAAAACACGGGGATTGAGCTCTGAATAGCTCTGTGTCTTCAGCACCAGCAGCCTTATGCTAAATCATTTCTAATGTGCAGGAACCCCAGCACGTGAGTTGGACCCGGTTGGAGGACGAATAACAGTAGTTGCTGGATCTTCAGGACATTGAAGAGGCAGTGCCCAGAAGTCCCTGTCTAGGTGAGTGGTGTCAGAAGAAGACCACTGGTTTGACGTTTAAAAGATGAGTTCTGGTCCAGGCCCTTGCAGCTGTTGGATCATGTAGGCAAGTGACTCAGTCTGTTTTCTGTCAGCTGAGTGGGTAGGTGTGGACGATGTCTGAGTTCTGTGAAATCTCTGATAATCTATGACTGTGTGCTTCTTTGGAAGAACACCTGAAGTACAATAATGGAAGAAGGGTTGAGGGGCAAATGGGGCTAGCAGTGTGGTAGTTATCATTTCTGAAATTTATTCTGTCTCAATCCCAGGAAAATGGGTGCATTGAAGCTTGATCAAGCCATCTTTCTTTTTCCTTTTTTCCTACACTTGAGAGTCTTGATTCTTGTCATCCTTCTTGCTGCTCTCATTTTCCATGGCTAACAAGCTACCGTAATAGGTCATTTTACCTTTTAATGCCCAACACTCTGTCATCAGCTGATGCACCCGCTCGTTTCCATTTGTTTGGCTTAGCATGTTACCCAATAACTCTTTCCATATTTCTCGTTGTCTCTGTGTTCACCATGCCCACTGCATAAATTCTGCCTCTTCTCTCTTCTGGCTTTGCTCACGTATCCCCCCACTATCCTTTTTTGTTTTCTCCTCATATAAAGTTGCTGGTGTGTATGAATTCAAATTACTTGTCTTTTCTCTGCTGGTTTATTTTCCTTTCTCTCCGCGGTAGATACAGATGACATTTGTACTTTAAATATCTTTCATATAGGGAGATATAAACTGAACCAAAGCGTCGACACCAATCACACTGTTTCTGAAGAACTAGAGTTTTCAGGGTCAGCAATGGACAACCTCAAAGGGGATACTGCTCAGGGTCCTACAGATGAAGAAGCCTATAAACATGAAGGCCACTTTTCAAGGCAGACAAAATGTCCTGCACAGAAGAAATCCTCTTTGGAGAATACAGTGGTCAGAAAAGTGTCAGTGACACTCAAAGAAATTTTCACGGAGGAGGGAGGCCCTGAATCACGGGAATTTAGTCTAAGGCCAAACCTTGACACGCAACAGAAAATTCCAAATGGCAGCAGATCCCCAGTATCTACGAAAAACTCCAAAGATAATTCAGACTTAATTAAAGACCACAGACTTTTCTCACAAAAAAAACCTTGTCAATGCAATGAGTGTGAAAAAGCCTTTAGTTACCAATCCAACCTTCTTATACACAGTAGAATTCGTGGTGGAGAAAAGTCTTTTGAATGCAATGAATGTGGGAAATCTTTCAGCCGAAGTACGCACCTTGTCGAACATCAAAGAATTCACACTGGAGAGAAACCTTATGAATGCAGTGATTGTGGAAGAGCTTTTAGCCGGAGCGCACATCTTAGTCTACATCAGAGAATCCATACTGGAGAAAAACCGTATGAGTGTCGTGAATGTGGAAAAGCCTTTAGCCGAAGCACTAACCTTAGTCAGCATCGGCGAACTCATACTCGAGAAAGGCCTTACAAATGTAAGGAATGTGGGAAAGCCTTCAGTGACCGCTCGACCGTCATTCAGCATCAGCGAATACATACTGGAGAAAGTCCGTATGAGTGTAGTCAGTGTGGAAAAGCTTTCAGTTGGATCTCATTGCTTATTGAACATCAGAGAACACACACTGGGGAGAACCCCTATGAGTGCAGTGACTGTGGGAAAGTGTTCAGTCGAAGCTCATCTCTTACTGAACATCACAGAATCCACACTGGAGAAAAGCCCCATGAGTGCAGAGTGTGTGGAAAGGGCTTCAGTCGAAGCTCATCCCTTACTATTCATCAGAGAACTCATACCGGGGAGAAGCCGTACAAATGTAATGACTGTGGAAAAGCCTTCAGTCAGAGTTCAACTCTCATCAGACATCAGCACCTACATACTAAAGAGTAACGTCTGAGCTTTTATTAATGTTAACCCCAGAACACACATACCTAACCTCCCACCATAGAAATGTATGTATTTCAAGTGTGTATATGTACTTGTTCTCATATTCTTTTATTAGATACCTGTAACCATTTTAAGCTTTCATTCCTTCTTTCTGGCGATCTATTCTTTTCTCTCCTCTCCTTTTCTCCCTCCCTCTTACTTTTTCTACCTCCCCTTTTTCTTTGTTTTTCTTTTCTCAAATGAGTTCGCAATAAAACAAAGAGATGACTCAAAAAACTTATCATATGCAATCTAATGTTCCGAAAGGCTCCAACTTTAGAATGTGAAGCTGCCTGACGCCTTGTAGTCTCTCCACTGATCATTCCATCAGGCGTGCATCCCCAACCTGCCAGCTAATCCTGTTTTCTAACCACATCGGCCCCTTCACATGAAGAGAAAATCCTGCGTGTGTGTCTTCGTACTTGCTGGCTCTAGTAACAGAAGTGAGGGATCTGGCTTTAGAACAGGACTAAAAACATCTCACCAGTCTGGGGAAAATAGTGTGGAGGAAATTCATTCTTCTGACTTTTTTCTCACCTTCCTCCTTCACTCACGTTTCTTGCTCTAGCATTTTCCTCAAAATATAACTCATTTTTTTACTAATGTGCCTAATGCCTAACTAATCCTAGTGTTATTTTATCACATTTTTACCGAAAATGTTCTAAAAATCTTGGAGATATGTCTTCATGATCTTGGGGGAAAGTTGCCAGTAGCAGAGCCTTTTTTAAAAAAATCCTTTTCTTCTATTTACAGACTTCATAAAACTTATACTCTGTGGCTCTGAGCCTCATAAATCTTGGAAGGTTGATCTCTCAAGGGCAAACCCAGTGCCTGTTTCTCGGTCCTGTTCCTACTCAACATTTGCAGCACTTTCTGTCACTGTTATGCCTTAAAGCTTAAGCTTCCTTCAGGATCCATGATTTTGTGCTGATCTGCCGTTTCCTACCTCCCAGCGCTTCTTTGATCGCCAATGATCAGCTCTGTGCCATGCGGCAAGGGTTGGGCCAGAATAATCTCGTTTTATCCAGTTATAAGACTTGAGGTCGTGCAATTAGATTATACACTTCTTGAAGACAGAAATCTTGGTTTGTTTGTTTTTGTCTTATTTTTGAAAGAAGTTCTTGCTCTGTTGCCCAGGCTGGAGTGCAATGGCACGGTCATAGCTCACTGCAGCCTTGAACTCTCGGGCTCCTGCCACAGCTTCCTGAGTAGCTAGGGCTGCAGGTGTACACCACCACACCCAAAATGTTAAACATTTTTTGTGGAGACAGGATCTCACTATGTTGGCAAGGCTGGTCTTGAACTCCTAGACTCAAAACAGTTCTCCCATGTCGGCTTCCCAAAACATTGACATTATAGGTATGAGCCACCACGCCAGCCAGAAATCTTGTTTTTGATTGAGATAAAACATCACGAAGTGCTGAGTAGACACTAAATGCCCTGTAATTATTGCTCACTGTTCCGCTTTGTCCTTTTGTAATCAAACAGCTTGCCTTTATGTGATATAGATTAGTAATTGACGTCTCATACTGCTGCTTCCCAGTCGTGGTACCTTGTGCCTGGATTACTAAACTGATCACTGTTGACTCACTACCGTTATCTAGCTCCTTACTAAACGACCACTTTGTTAAAAGTAGGCTGCAGTTTCCCAGTGACCTCTGGCCAAAATGTAAACTTCTTTAACTTAAGGTATTTCATAGTTCGATCTACTTATTTACTTACTTTCTCTTCTCAAAGATAATGCATGCGGGCAGGCCTGTTTCTTGTTCCTACCATACCCTCTTCTCACACTTGGCTTCTTTTCAAACTATTCCTTAGCACTTTTCCATGTTCTGCTTTCTTTGTATTCCAGAAACCCTATCCCTTTTTTAAAGGCCACGCTCATATCCTGACGGTGACACTTTCAGTTCCCTGCCTTCTCAGAAATCCTCTGTAGTGATGGTTTCGATTATTGTCCTATGTTAGACACCTTCCTTACATTAGCCATTTTGAAGTTGTCAATCACCCTACATCTTTGATAAGCCCCATGTAATACATAGTGCGATGCCAGCTGGTGCTCTAGTTTTAATCTAAACGTCTAGGGTTTAATTTAGCAGCATGATCTTTTTAGTTTTTTGAATGATGAGGTAACCTCGTAGGTATTTTGGCCCATTTTGTTTTTCCTTGAGTTGTGTGTGTAACTGACTATTCAGACTGACTCCTTCAGATCTCCTAGGATGCTGACCTCTTGGCGTTCTATTTCATGAGACTACTGTAAGGAATGAGTGAGTTTATCCATGTAATGTAATACGGCAGTGCCTGGCATACAGTAAAAGCTCAATAAATTCTCATTAGTATAATTGTACTGATTCACATTTGCCTCTAGCTTCTTATTTCTTTCCTGCGGAGTTTTTAACTTCATTACCAGAAATGGAAAACTAGGATCACAGTCAAATAAGCTAGAAGGTATTTCTTTTATCATAATAGGCAACAACTACTTTATTATAACTTCACTGTATGTAAACAATGACTCAAGTTTGCGAACAAGATACGAAAAAATAGAAAAAAAACCATACAAATGAGCACTAAGAGATCAGGACAAGTTATGATAACCTACACAGGTATTCGGTTAGGGATACAAGCTGAGTATTCTGGCAACCAAAATGAGAAGGTAATTTGCTTACATTGTTTTAGAAGGAAAAAAATATGTCCATTCTTCGAGGAAAACAAAGCTTTTCTAACACTTAGAATTAAGATGAATTCCTCCATTGGTCTTCATGTAATTATACAATGTATACATGTAAAATATTTAGTCCACAGTAGAAGAAGATCCAGAAAGGCAGATGTGAAGATTGTTTTTAGGATGGAGTGCGTTCGCAGGAGTGGGAGGTAGAGCATACTAAGTAATAAAGTTTTGACTGGGTGCCAGAAGAAACAAGGACATTTTGGTCAATGATGGACTGCAGGTGTGACAGTGATCACATAAGGTTAAGTTGGAGCTGGAAAATGTCTATGACCTAGTAATGTTATGGCATAATTATGTGTTTTTGGTGACACTGGTATAAACAGTGCACTGCCAGTCATGTAAAAATATAGCACTAAAGGCCAGGTGTGGCGGCTCACACTTGTAATCTCAGCACTTTGGGAGACCAAGGCAGGTGGATCACCTGAGGTCAGGAGTTCGAGACCAGCCTGGCCAACATGGTAAAGCTCTGTCTCTACTAAAAATATATAAATTAGCCAGGTGTAGTGGCTCATGCCTATAGTCCCAGCTACTCGGGAGGCTGAGGCACTAGAATTGCTTGAATCTGGGAGGCGGAGGTTGCAGTGAGCCAAGATCAGGCCATTGCACTCCACCTTGGGCAACAGAGTGAGACTCGGTCTCAAAAAAAAAAAAAAGTATAGCACTGTGTAATACTTGATAAGAAAGCACTGTGTCACTAGTTTGTGTATTTACTATACCATACTTTTTACAGTTATTAGGTTGCTGCAAAAATAATTGTGGTTATTGTTATTGAAAGTAATAGAAACCTGCTGCAATTCCTTTTTCACCAACCTAATATTTTAGAGTGTATTTCTACTTATTAAAAAAAGTTAACTGTAAAAGAGCTTCAGGCAGGTCCTTCAGATGGTGTTCCAGAAGAAGGCATTGTTATCATAGAAGCTGGCTGCTCCGTGCGTCTTACTGCCCCGATGACTTTTCAGTCAGCTGTAAAACAGTGACACTGATGATCCTGACCCTGCAGAGGCCTCCGCTAATGTGTTTCTGTGTCCTAGTTTTTAACAAAAGAGTTTACGAAGTAAACAAAATAAATTTAAAAATATTAAAAAGCGTATAGAAATAAGATAGAAAGAAAAGATATTTTTATATAAGGGTACAATGTTTATGTTTTAAGCTAAGGTATTACAAAAGAGTCAAAAGTTTAAAATATTAAAAAGCTTATAAAGTGAAAATGTTACAGGGCTTTGCATCATGCAGCAGAAATCGTCAGGATGTTGGTGATAAGATCCCTGCTTCGAACCTCCTTCCTATGTGGCCTGCTCTGGGGCATTTGTGCTCCATGTGTCAGGGCTGAGGACCCTGCAGCCAGCTTCTCCCAACCCGGCAGCGTGGGCCTGGATAAGAACACAGTGCAAGACCAAGAGCATGTCGTGGAGCATTTAGAGGGTGTCAGGTTGAAATGCCAGGGTCTAGCAGGGACTAGGTGGATGGGCAAACAGCTGAGAGTCCTCGGGGGACTGTGGGCAAGTGAAAGATGATTTTCATCAGCAGCAGCTCACTCATATTCGCTCACTTACGTCAGCTCTCTCACACTGTCTGCCCTGTCTTGGCTGCTTGAACGAGCCACTCCCACAACAACTGCAGGGCTGGCTCTCCCTCATCTTCAGGGTCAGCAGCTTAACTCTCTCTCTGGGCATGAGCTTGTTCCTGACTCCCCACCTGCTCGTCTGCCAGTTGGTCATTCTCCTTTATAGGGGCCAGTAGCTTCACACTCTCTCTGGGCACCAGCACCTGCACAAGAGCCATGTTGAGCCGGGCCCTGTGCACAGTGTCAGCAGGGCAATTAGACCTTTTACAGACAGTAATGGCTCAGAGCCAAATAGGAATTTACATAAACAGGTTATATAACAGTGAAGGTATGCACCTGCATGCCAAACTTGCTGAGTCATGCAGGCCTGCATGTCCGCCTCAGCCTATTCCTTGACCAAAACACATCCACGTACCTTACCCTCCATCCCTAGGCTGAGGGAGACATAGGGTTTGGGCACACAGGCCCGTACGTAGTCTTGATACATTAGCCTGACACATAAGCTCTAGGCATGCAGGCCCAATATACATACACAGGCTTAACACATTAGCCTGACACATGGGCTTTGGGCACACAAGCCCGATACATACACATAGGCTTCAATAAACTGACCAGTTATCAGCCCAGATTACCACAATAGGTACCATAGACACCTCAGTGATTACTACTCACACTGTCCCGAGTTCAGCTCATTGCTTCTCTGTCTCCACCTGGTTTCAAACCATATGGTATTACTAGGCTGGACCACACCAGCAGACCAGGCAGCAGTAGCACCCAGCTAGATCTAGCTGTGTACCATGCCCTATTAGGAATAGGAGGACACCCTTCCTAACAGTGAAGGCTCAGGGTCTAGGGGTGCCTCAGGCCCCATGGCCTTATCTTGTATTAGAACTACAGGCCTCAAGACCTCTTGCAACTCTGCTGCTAAGGGACTTGGACTCAGCATACTCCACTGCTCTAAGTAGGCGCCCCCCTTCGCTAAAGTGGATGTCTGTGCTGTCCCAGTCTGGGGGGTTGTTACCCATGAACGTACCCGTCCTGCTATCGCGTAAGTCATTTGCCTGACTGTAACCCGTCCAGCCACACTCTTATGAGCCTGCAGGGCAGCATATACAGTTACTGACTCCCTCTTTATTAATGAGCACTGGGGCTCAGTTCCCTTCCATAGCTGGGACTAAAAGCTTACTGGCACTTCCAAGCGCTCCAAACACTGTTAGAGGCCCTAGCCAACACTGTTTGTGGTTACAAGCACACGTACTTTAAATGGGCACCCCGGTTAACTACCCACAGGGCTTGTGCCTTCAGAAAGGCTGTTTCAGCCTCGTCGTCCCAGTCCCTGGCAAAAGGGCTGTTGCTGCTTCCAAACCTGCAAAAGAGCCAGAGGTTGTCATCATTAATAAGAAAATGGCATGAATGGGGCTGTGCCTGCAGCCCTGCAGCAACACGATGAAAGTCCGCTGTCGCCCTCCCGCGAAGGCAAACTCTTCCTGGCTCTCTGGAGCGATGTGGATTGAGAGGAATGCATGGGTCAAGTCTACCACACAGTGGCACCATCCCAGCTCCCCTTTCAAATAGTCCGTCAAGTCCATGGTAGATGGCACAGCTGCCAAGCCATGCAAAATAGCCACCCCAAGAATGTCCTCGGGCATGCAGCAGACACACAGTGCATAAGTGGAGAGCCAAGCAGCCGATGCCAAGGTGCAAAAACAGGTTTCCCTTTCACTGACCGGCTTTCATAGCTGTCTATGCAGCCTGGCCTGGATCTGGCTGCAGGTACCGGTGGATTGCCAAGTCCATATATGGGCTTTGGTCGGCTGGTGTCCCCCACCAAGCCGGGTACCTTGGCCAGTTCTCTTAGCAAACAGAAAAGGCTTTTGCACTTCCACCAACTGCAGCAGGTACTCTGTGAACTGGAACACTCGGGCAGGACCAGGTTGGGCAGCAACGTTCTTCTCCTGAATTACTTGCACCAAGTCCTTACATGACTGCCAACATTTTTTTTCTTTTTTTTTGAGACGGAGTTTCGCTCTTGGCACCCAGGCTGGAGTGCACTGGCGCGATCTCGGCTCACCGCAACCTCCGCCTCCTGGGTTCAGGCAATTCTCCCGCCTCAGCCTCCTGAGTAGCTGGGATTACAGGCACACGCCACCATGCCCAGCTAATTTTTTTTTTTGTATTTTTAGTAGAGACGGGGTTTCACCATGTTGACCAGGATGGTCCCGATCTCTTGACCTCGTGATCCACCCACCTCAGCCTCCCAAAGTGCTGGGATTACAGGCGTGAGCCACCGCGCCCGGCCATGACTGCCAACATTACTTGCTTAACTCCTGCAGCTTAGCAGGGGCACAGGCACCATAGGAAGTGTGCTCCACAGTAGGGGATGAGCTTTGATGATGCCACTGTACTCCGCCTGGGTGACAGAGCGAGACCCTGTCTCCAAAAGTAAATAAATACATAAAAGTTGTGTGGCAAAGGTTATGAAGGAGACAGAGAGATGATCGTAGGATAATAGGATTTAAGAAAATGAGTTTGAGGGAACCCAAGACACTTAAATCTATACCTTCTACGGTTTGGGGAAAGTTTTAATTTTTATCTCAGATCATAAAGCCAATCAAATTCATTTTAATATTCTCTCAGAAGTATTTAAATTGATAAAACATAATGTGCACTCATTTTTAATTATGACAAATTTAAAACATACACAAATTAGACTATAAAATGGTCTCCTATGTGCTCATTGTTCAGGGTTAATGACCATGAAAATTTTGCCACATTTGCTTTATTTGTCCCTTTTTTCTTCATTTTATTCTTTTGATATTTTAAATAAAACTGAGACATCATGAAGTTTCAATCCTGCATATTTCACTATGCATTTTTAAAAAACATGGACAGTTTCTTACATAACCAAAACGCTACTATCATACTTAACAAAATCAACAGTAATTCCTGGTGGACCTTCATTTTGTAAATAAAACACAACCTGACTGACATCTTCTGTTTGGGAAATTTGGAAGGAGCAAAGGTAACCCTGCGTCTGGATGTCGATCCAAGCTAAGTTTGTGG